ATGAGAAAAGCAGGAACCCCCTTTTCCCCCCCCCCCCCTCAGTAAGCACGTGTGGACTAGGGTGGCAGCAGTAATGGGATTTGCTAACAGTGTACATCCATAATGTTCAGTTAGATTAGAACTAGTAACCTGGTAGTTCATTTAAGAGGGGTATGCTTACATACAAGAGTTACTTCTGGGCTACAAGAATGTCCTTTTCTTGCCAGTCACATTGGAGACCAACTCCATCACTGAGAGAGTCAATGAATTTCCAGTTTCCAGGCACAGCAAAGTTATAATCTGCCAAGGGCATTTCTATACCGAGTTACATAAAACCCTAGGACGCAGTGTCTTCTGAACTGCTGGTCCTAAGTGAGGGATAAGAAAGTTTTGATCTCTGGTATTGGATCAGTGCCTGCAGAAGCTTAGCGAGCATAACACCACGTGTATTCGTGCTATGCAAAGGGTTTTTGGCCATGACCGTTAACCCTAGAAGCATAATGCCAGGTTAATACAGTTTTTTGTGCACAAGTGCTAAAGTTTTTCTGGTTTTTTTGTGCATGAGTGCTAAAGTTAAGAAATCCAATGTCTATAAACTTTTCAGCAGTTCTTCTTTTGCAAGCAATTCTCTCATCTAAAAGAAAAGCAAGTGGCTATTGAACCAGTTCGTAAATCAGCCCCTAACTCCCTAACAGCATAGAAAATGTGTACCTTACCCTGATACTTCAAATAGGATCAGCCCTCAAGGCTATAACTGACTAGCTGTTTCTTTCTGGAATTGGTTCAAGCCTTACTATATTAAGTCTCAGACCTTACACAAGTATAATGTTCAATGCCAGTCAAGTATGAAATGAGCATGTCTGATACTCTATCATTTGTATTTAATCTCAGACCTTTCTTTTGCCCTAGTCAAGGCTGTTGAAGACAATTCCAGCCAAAGAATCCATAAGTTTTAGTTGGAAAAAAGTCATACTTAGTATTTTAACATAATTATTTGGAATTTCAATCAGTTACATTAATTAAAACACATCTCAAGTGTTGCGTGCATGTCCAGCTTCTCCACAGAAAGTCTCATTACTTAAATCAAATCAAAAATGAAGTATGGCAGGCTCAGAAACTGATGTGCATATTCACAAGACAGCATCTCATCATGAGATCTGAGACCCATTTCATTTTAATTGGCTTTCCAACTTCTCTTCAACTTTCCCACCTGCCATGTCACTTAAAAACATTCAAAAAGGTTTGAGTGATGGCATCTGAAAGTTCAGCAGTTAATTTCATAAATATTTTCTAACTCTTCCCATGGGCCATCATGTTTCAAATTCAGTAATTCCAAGTTACTAAAGTTATGAGCCAAGACCTCGAACAATTCGTAGCTACAATACAAGGCACCTGCCCTCAGTTTCTTGCTTTTCCATGTACAGTATGGCACAATACAGTGTGCAAGAGAGCACAGGCAGGCACAGTTTACACCCCAAAGCTGCTTCACATGCTATAGTCTTAGTAACCTGAAGTGCAGCAGCAATTCTAAAAGGATCCTGGTTTACATTTTAGCTTGGGGAATGCTCCTGAAGCACAAGAGAGGACATGGATCCAACATTATTAATCTCTTGAAACATGTATGTGTTTTATAATGGTCCTTTTAAAGCTTAAAAGGACTTTAAGCACATTTACTTACTTCCACTAAGAAATACCCTGTGGACATCGTAGGTTAAGTGTTAACAGATTTTTTAAATATGTGCAAGTCCAAGTTTGGGGCTTTACCAACTTGGACCATCTCCACCTGAACAGTCACTCAGGCAACAAGAAATGGCAGATCATTGCACAAAATACTCTTTTTGCTCCTCTTAAGTTAGCTGTCTTTGGGTCTACCTAAACCCAAGAAGGATGCATGCATGAAACTCTTTGCAATGCAATTTATGTGAAGGAACCTACAAGAGATTTCCAGTAGGTTTGTATTTGTGCAGCCAGCTTCATCATGACAGAAATGTATCTGCCTAGTATTCTCTTATGTGGCTTACATCTTTCTGCTTCTGTATTGGTTACATTCAGTCCTAATGTAAACTCACCTACCCAAAAGCTTACACAGGAGACAGGCTTGTAACCCATGAATACTAATATTTAATTCCACGGGTCTGAAATGTATAAATTAAATGAAAAAAAAGTGACTTCAACATTCACATTTGAAAAAAAGCAGCAAAAAAATGCAGCTGAGCAACAAGAGCTCAGTTCCTTTGGGAAAAAGTAGTATCTACTGTGCATGCTTACATCCTGCACAGTATTTTGGAAGTGGTTTACAAAGTCTCATTTGTAGGATATGGAGTAAGACCCCCAATATCTGCACATGCAGACGCTGCACACCGCAGCATACCATTAGTTAGGTAACAACTCAAAAGAAAACACCAGATCCTGTCTAATTTCCCCCTGCAGACATCCTGTTGCCTATCATCTTCCCTGCCTAGGGCAGGAAGCTGGACCCAATGATCTTGCAAGGTCCCTTCCAGCCCCTAACATCTATGACTATTTTGCCAAGAACTTTAGTAAGGCAGCACGCTTGCAAGATTTCATATTTTCAGCTCAAAGGAGAATTGCAGCCCTACTAGCACCGCAAACCAGTGTGTGTCGCCACCCAAAAAATGGGCTGCAAGAATATAGGAAAGGGACCTGAATGAGCTTTAAAAGTGGATTCTCCTTTTCAGGAGAAAAAAAAAACCCATGGGGAACTGCAGTTTTTCCCTTGCAAGTTAGCACAGCTCCAGCCTGCCCAGGGCCGCTTGGGTTCCCCCACCCCCAGCCACACACACACACTGGGGATCTGGGGGTGGGTCAGGAGTGAGGGGCCGACCGCCTGCATTTAGAAACAGGTCCTGGTGCAAAAAGAAAACACAAAAAAAAAAAAAAAAAAAAAAAAAGAGGTTGAGAACCAGCGATCCCAGCAAGTCCGGCCCAGTGCAGAGCCCAACTCAATCCGCTCCTGCCAGAAATTTATTTGTAAGGAAGGTTTCAGGAAAAGATAATAGTGTATATATTATATGGATAAATAGAGGTATTCACTATAAATATGTTGGCGTGTAGTTAGACGAGTGGGCAGGTGGATGGGCAGTTAGACGGGTAGGTAGATCGATGTACAGGTGGGTAGATGGATAGGTCGGTAGGTGGGTAGTTAAGACGGGCGGGTAAATGGGTAGGTGGGTCGGTCGGTAGACGTGTCGGTGGGTAGGTAGGCGAGTGTCCTCGTGCGGAGCCGCCGCGGGAGGGAAGGCGGGCCCGGCTCTTCCCCGCGGCGCCCTCGCCCAAGGCCCCTCGTGCGCGGCCGCCGCCATCTCTTTCATTCTTGGGGCGGGAAGAAGCGAAGCCCCCGGGCGAGTGAGCAGGGCAGGACGTGGGAGCGGGACTCGTGCCCCTCCCCCCTCCCGCCCCACGCGCGAGGAC